TGTCGAAACACGTGGATTGTTTTGTATGGCAGCAGCTACAGCAGCGATTGTTTCCTCCGTTCGAACTGAAGGGTTTCGATGGTAAGGTCTTCTGTTGACTGTCCCATGCTTGGCAAAATTGTTTACAAGTCTCATTATGGTCCATCTGCTCGGAGGATTGCCGCCAAACGTGCGCCTATACACTCTTTGAACCGAAATTACGGACTACAGTGCGTGATAGCGGCGCACAATCCAAATTCTTGTTTCAGTGTCCCAGTTATCCATTTTTGTTAAATGTAAAAGTCATTCTGCAAAATAAAAAAAATTAACCAGATTCATTAAATAGAAAAAAGTTATTTAATTTTTTTTAGCGGCTTTCATCAGCCACCCTGTACACAATAAACGCATACATAGTACGTAAATTCCTATATGTATGCTTATGTACACATCTGTGCGAAATAATAGGTGTTTGCCTCCATGTTATCTTTGAAAATTTTGCAAAACATAAAATAAAACTTTGCAGTGGAAGAAAAGTCACATATTCCATTCTAAAATAACTTTGTAAATATACCAGAACAGATTCAGTCGAACAATATATCTTCGGTTTCTGAAACATCTGAAAAAGGTTTTAGCACTTCTTCGCGTTTTATTTTAATGGCTTAGGCTAATGACAGAGTGGAAGCGAGACGCGATGCTGTAAAATGGCGCTAATTCAATTTATAGGTTGCATACATATGTACATATGTCTTCTTAGGTAAATCGCTCATTTCAAAATTCTTTCATTTCGTTCCATTTCATTTTGAAGTGCTTTTCATAGTAGCAATACGCTCGATTTCAAATGAATATTTACAAATGTTTGACACCAAGCGACACCAGAAAAGCATTTGGCAGTAATGTGCGACAAAAAGTGTCCTGCTGTGAACGCAGTCTTACACATTTAAATTTTATATTTTACCCTTACACCACCCACTTTCGATGCTTTAGGGTATGCTTCTATTATTTTGCTCGGCATTTTTGCATATAAAACACACGTCCTCGAGTTCGCTAAATGTATGCTTATGAAACACATTCAAATGTAAATAAAATAGAACGAAATTTGAAATTCAAATGAAAAGCAAAATTTTAGCAAAATCTGCATGGCAATTTTGTTCGCGTCATTGGTGGCGGATTAGAAGAACTACAACTGATACTAAGCATTTTTAAATTGGCCTAGTCATCGCAGTGCAATTACTCTTACTAAGTTACTTTCTATACAGTGTTAGTATGTATGAGTATGCACCCAAGCGTCATCGCACATGCACACACATAATTTATTTGTAAACAAAGCAATTAATTAATTTATTAAACCCCCTATAAAGTAAGAGGGCTTTCCAAAAATTCCGAACGAGCGAAGCTACACAGCGTGTAGAAATCGCCGTACGGGGTATATGTTTGTATGGTTGTCAGCATAAATACCCTCACTAGACGTTCATTGGATATTATGCTCCCCATGACAAGGAAGACAGTTTGTGCAAACATTTCAAAGCTTATACATGCGTTTCTACAAATCAACTGAGAATTACAGTTAATATCAACCGCGGGTAACGAAAAAATATTATACCGACAATACTAAATGGAATATGGAACTTTTTTCTGCAAAAACTGGTTTTCTTTACTGTGACCTCTGTGGAAGAACTGGTTGCATAAATGGGGGTGGTGATGGAGATGGAATTTGTATCACTTCGTTGAAAATCGCAATATAAAATTTTTTTGACCTTTGAACTCGGGTATTTATTTCACATACAAGTATACATATATTCAATAACATAAGTTAACGACTTCGGATTACTGTACTGTCAGTCCATCCAAGCAATAGCAACTTGAGTAAAATTTGATGTATGTATCTCAGGTGAATACAGTGGTTCCGGCACGATATTGGTGGAAAATTTGGCGAAAAACTCACGAAGAATCATAGCAGTATGCGACGGTGCATTATCGTGATTTAAAAACCAAAAGCTGTCGGCCCTTAATTCCGGCCGATTTTTACGAATAACTTCGTGTAAACGAAGCATAACACTCGAATTGTATTTGTTGTTGACAATTTGGCCGTTCGCTAAGAATTCGGAGTGCACCACACCTCGATAATCGAAGAAAACGTTTAACATAGCCTTGATTTTTGGTCTGTTTTGACGTGGATTTTCGGCTTCTGTTCATCTTTGCCACGATATTCAGCCAATTGATCGTCCATTTCCGGGTCGTAAGCATAGATCCGTGACTCATGGCCAGTAATAAAACGTTTCGTGACATCCTGGTAGTCGGAAAGTATTGTTTCACAGACGTTAACGCGATGCTGTTTTTCGAAAAATATTTGTGATTTCAAAGGCAATCGTACCTTCACTATTCTTAGGCCCAAGTGATCTTTCAAAATGCTTTTCGCTGATCCCTCCGATATACCAAGGATGCCAGTAAGATATATGACTGTCAACCGTCGATACTCAAACATCAATACCTTTATTTTATTGAAGTGTTGAACACAGTTAATGATGATAATGTCCTGGACGTTTGGTTTGTCTTTAACCCCTTTTTGTATAATTTGTACAATCAAAAACACTTTCTCGCGACAAATAATTATCACTAAAGGCGTTTTCTAACATTCTGAACGTTTCGGCACCAGAAATTTGATAGATTTGAATATTTCGACGAAAAGGTTTTCTTATAAAAAGTTCTTACTATTATTTGCCCACAGTCCCACTACGAAAAAGAAATGAAATATTTATTTTATGGAGTACTCTTAAAATTGTCATATTTTTCTAACCACCAACATATTTTATGTCGCTTAGTATTCAAAGTTGTGCGATTTCACTTTTTATATCTCTCGATGTTTGCATGACCGTCTTCAGATATTACGACAAAATCAATTTTCTTACGATTATACTCATGCAACGTGACTGGAAACCTTTACCATACACTCTCCGCAACAGTTGAGAGCAGCGTCGTTTCACATCCTTTGATCACGTGGCATACAAGAACAGACACAGTGCAGCAACGTGACTTAACTGTATGTCAAAATATTTCATGCAATTGAACTTCTTGATATTCATGGGAAACCACAATTGTTTCCCTACTACGAATAACACTGTTGCGTTCTATTATGAAGACGTCTGTCAAATGCAGAATTATATTTGTCAACTTGTGATGGCTATTGAATAGCAACACATGAACATTACAATAATCGCGTTACCAGAAGCTCGGATATTTGTTCGCTTACCGTAACTTTGGAAATTCGAGATATGCCAACTAAGCGTATTGCCAGTGAACAGGGTATATAAAGTTTGTAACACCCAGAATAAAGAATGAAACTTCGGAGATCCTATAACTGCCATGAACGTCTGTTTATAAGGGGTTTCAATACGGCTATACAAAACTAGACCGATAGGGAAAGCGAACGACGTCATATTTCCATATTTTAAGGCTATTTTGACATTTCTCTTCAGTAAGGTTTGCCATTTCATCATGAAATGATATCCGTCCAACAACGAGTCAAAATTATTAAAATTTGCTACCGAAAATCGGAGTCAATGGACTCAATTTTAGGAGCTATAAGTGAACTAGTCCTTCAGTTTTTGAGCTATCCATCTGAAATTTCCCACACGTACTTTTCTACGCAAAAAACTGCTCATTTGTAGATAGCGTCGATATCGGACCACTATAGCATATAGCTGTCATACAAACAGACCGATCCAAATCATGTTTTTGCATGCAAATCTTGTTTATTTCACTAGATATATTCAAAAAATTTGATTTAAATTTTTGTCCCAGGCGACCCTAAAATATTCGAGCAAATCGTTCAGATCAGAGCACTATAGCATATAGCTATCATACAAACTGACCGATCCAAATCAAGTTCTGGTATGAAAAACTTTTTTATTTAACAAGATATCTTAACCAAATTTAGCATAGATTATTGTCTAAGCCAAGGCTACAATTTCCGAAATTATTATCGGAATCGAACGATTATAACATATAGTTGACATACAAACTGATTGATGAAAATTAAGTTTTACCGGAAAGCTTTTTTATTTGACGATATATATTCACGAAATTTCGCACCGATTATTGTCCTAAGCGCTTAACTATATCATATGGCTATCATACAAGCCGGTCGAACTTTACTTTGATTTTGTAAAGACCTTATGATACCCTTTTGTGCTAGGAAAAATGCACCAATGTTTTGTATTGACAGTTCAGTGCAGTAAAGTTAACTGTTTTCTGTTTCTAGTGCAAAATATATTATATGCATATTTTATAAAAGGAATTTTTCACAAACGTTACTTGTTTATAAGTTTTACGCTTAGACTCAGAAATTACATTTTTCTTAACCGCCCAACTCCGACCAGTTACACTGGCAGCACCCTCGTAGTGCGGTAACTGCTGGTAGCTGGTAGCTGTTGGCTTAGTATGTGCGTACATACATACATAGTAGTCGCTAGTTGTGCAAAATGCAGTTTCAGTACCCATGGCTCGTACATTGATCCCGACATGGTACCTGTTTGGCTTTGTGGAAAATTGTGTGTATGTGTGTGTGTATTCGTTGCGACAATGCAGTGTGACTTGCATTGCAAGTTGTTGACTTGTCGCTTAGTCGTTGCATATGTTGTTGGCCTTGTTGTTGCCGCAGTGATTATGCCGCTTGTCCAGCTGTTGGTAGCATAGTATGTCAAAAGCAAGATTATCTATGTTTTTGCGTTTTCAAAAATAAGAGGAAGCAAAGTATGAGCTTCTGAACAGCGTAAGAAATTAGTTCTGCACGAATTACGCAAACTCTTTTCTCAATAACAAATACTGTCTGGATGCGCAGAGTTATAGTGAAGTTTAATATACAATGTTTTAAGGGACGCACTTTCGTGAAATAATTAATAATTGAACTGTTTTTGATCTACGATTTCTTATGTGTATAAACAGGCAATTTTATCGCATTGCAGTGTTTATTCGTATTTATGCGTGTTCTTAACGAGTTCTCCATACAAAAACAAAAACAGCTTTGTGTTGACATGCACAGAAACGCAATTAAATGTACTCAACAGTGTAGCTGGCGATTATATTCCATAACTACAATATGAACGGTAGGTATACAGTTACGGACAATAAAATAGAATCAAAGGTTTTGTTGTCAAACAACAATATAGTTTTTTTTTTGTAATTTTCATATAATTTGTGGCAAAAAAGTACGCGGAAAATGTAAATAAAACGTAAAATAATTAATTACTCATCAATATTTATTTGGTCGCCTTCGAAGTACTCCCTATCAGATGTAATACACTTATGCACTTTTTATTTATACTTTTTGGCCTTCAGCTACTTCAACGAATTTTGTTTTATCTCTTCGATCGACAGAAAACGAGTTCCACGGCGCAACAATTGCAGTTTGAGGAACAAAAAAATATCACACGAAACCAAATCTGGTGAATGCGTTGCTTGATTAATACAATTCATTACGTTTTTAGACCAAAGAGAGCTATTTTACTAATTTAAATAAAAAAAAAATCAGCTTTATCGGAACGAGTCGAACAAAACGCTTTTCATACACAAAACATCCACCAAAATCATACGAACGAACTCACGAGAGATATCGAGTTCTCTTGTCATCACTCTAACACTTGAGACAAATTCGTTATTCAATATTTTTATACTTTGTAAAAATCGCAACGCACCACTGAGGTGAGTCTGTTAAACCGAACTAAAAAGGCCAGACTCTGGGAGAAAGGTCAAAAAGTAGGGTATTCTGTTCCACATAGCACTTGCCGTAACCTAATTCAGTCCATGCCTAGGAAATTTGATCTGTATTAGACAATAGAGGTTACGCTACAAAGTGCTAACAATTTTTTGTAATAGTTCTCTTAAAAAAAGTTATTATTTTTAATGTAAAATATTTTAATTAAATTTTTTTGTCCTCAGAATTTTTAAAATTTGTATTTTACCATTGTTTTTGTAATACTTATGTTTTTTTTTGCTGCTACCAATAACACTTTTTATAAAAAAACTTAATTTTTAATAGAATTTAAATCAAATTTATACTTTTTTTGAAACGGAAAATTATTACTCTTTTATTGTTCGCAACTGTATAGGCTTGTATTAGCGCTTTACAGCATAAAGAATTTATTTTATTTAGTACTGTTCGTTTTGCTATTGCATTTGAGCTTTGCTGAGTGCATTGGCCCAGCGTCTTTGAAACGATCAATTTCAATAACACCAAGCTTTTGTGTTGCACGTATAGACAGTCTAATAATATGTAATGTTAAAAAAAAGTTGATTAGAACTACAAGCAACAGTTGAATGAAACACCTTGAAAACTTACGATTATAGATATGCATGAAGGTACATTTAGTACATATTTGTAAATGGATTGTATTGTATCCATATGTAAGTACATAGTACATTGGAGATACATATGATCAGTAGTAAAAATATTAAACGGGTCCAGAATGGTTGTGCTGCCCTTGATGTAAGATCTATTTTTTTTAACATATTTGGGCTCACATGAAACAATCAATGTTTTGTCAAGTTGTTGCTCAGCCCAATACACGAACATATGACGATTCTGGTGGTAAAGCGGCTTCAGTTCTTGCGTTAATTTGATCACGAAAGGATCTTTTCGCAAAATCCGCCACAATAACGTCACCGAGATGCCCAACGAATATGAACGACGTGTGAGAAACTGATTTGGGTCTTCCTCAAGTGATGCGCTAGTGGCAGCAATATTCTCAACGCTACGGGCACTTCTTTGCCTCACTGGCACGGGAACATTTTGTACTCTGCCTGTGGTTTAAAATTTTTCCACTAGAAGCTCTATTATCGATCTTACAAGACGATTATAACGAAATATTGAAAAACCACTTCCTGCCCCCTGGTGGCGCCATCTATACTAAGACTGATGCGTTAGAATCTGATATCTTTATCGATTTTCCAGTGAGAATTTTATGGCATGTCTATAATTGGAAGTGAAGTTATTGTGTTTTACGTGTCAGTATGTTTGTGTTATCGGTGCGAAACTAAGCTTCGAACAGAGAGCCAACATTAAATTTTGTTTTAAAATGAGTAAAACTATTACCGAAACGTTTCAATTGATGAAACAAGTAGTTTCAACGTTTTCAAAGTGGTCGTGAGGACATAAATGACGATCAACATGTGGGCCAATCAAATTCCGTGATCACCGGAAATTCCATCGAAACTGAATTCGTCAAAAATCAGCCGAAATCATCATTGACATTCATGGAAATGGAATTGAACACCTCCGAAACAGCGATTTATCGCATTTTGACCGAACATTTGGGCTTACGAAAGGTGTGTGCACGCACAAATTGATTGACGACCAAAAATTGTCTCACCGATCGACGCTTGTGACCGATTATTTGACCAAAAATCACATTTTAACCATTATCTACTCCCCGTATTCACCTAATATGGCACCATGCGACTTTTTTTCTTTTTGGAAAAATACATTTGCCCATGAAAGAAAAACGTTATGCAGACGTAGAGGCCATTCAAAAGTCTTGCACCGGCATACTGGCGGCCATACCGCCCAACGAGTTAAAACACTTGTTCGACGTGCTTCTGGGCCGTGCAAAAAGCTGTATTGAAGCTGAAGGAGACTATTTCAATAAAATAAATTGAAAAAAACATTTGTATTTTTTTTTTAAGTTTTTTTTTTTAAGTCCTGTTTCCTTTGTACACATAAAATAACAAAGAAATATTTTTTTTTTACTTATTTTGAAAGTAAAGTATTTATCCATTTTTATGCAATTCTCAATTCAGCTTTACTAAAGCGAAACCTTGCAAACAGTTTATGTATATAAAAATGTATTGGTATTTGAAAATTTAAAATTTTCTTATTTGCTTATTTTTAGGTGGTGGCGCCATCGAAATGGAGCTGTCTAAAATCCTGCGGGAATATTCACGAACGATCGCTGGAAAGGAGCAACTGCTGATCGCCGCCATTGCCAAAGCGCTGGAGATTATTCCACGTCAGCTGTGCGACAATGCTGGTTTTGACGCCACCAACATTCTGAACAAGCTGCGACAAAAACATGCTCAAGGTACGTTTATACCACATAGTATAAAGGATGTGTTAAGAAAGCCTTGCTAGGCGTCACAATTTCCGCTTAAAATGTATGAAGCCAAATATTTAAAATGCATATTCATATAACTTGTACATATGTAGATTTAAGGCATATATGTATGTATGTAATTGTCATATGTGTATGTATATGTATGCGTATCTGATTAACTTTTGGCTTTGTTAGCACTTCCAGCCAGTCTCCTTGTCATTTGTAGTCGCTTAATTATGTACATACTAAATATAAGCGTGAGAGTGTGTAATGGCTACCTATTTACAAGATTATTGCTAAACAAAACCATAGGAAATCAAGAGATAAACAAAATAATTAGTCAGTAAAAACACAACTGTTGCTCGATTTTACGTTTTTTTTATAACAAAAAGTCACGTAGCCACCGAAACGAAAAGAAACGGCTGATTACGCAGCCTCGAGCCAAAAACGAATGAGCGTAATGAGCAAGAAGTAAATATGGACATACATATATGCAGAATTAATACATACATTTGTACGCGGGCATAAATTTGTTTATATCATACCGTAGTTACGCGTTTGTTGTCTTGTATTGTCTTTTTCATTTTTTTTTTTCGAATATTTTTAAATTTTTCTATGTGCATACATACAATTATGGACAAGTTGCAAGCTTTTATTTTTTTTTATTCTACCGTAAATCGAATTTTAATGAGAAAAGATAAGATTAAATTATATAAGATTGTCTGCAAAAATTGAAAATTTTATTTTTATAAATAATATTATACATACATACATACTTGCGCTTCTTATTAAAAATAAATTAGCACTTTAGGGTGGCACAAAAATCGATATTATTATGATAAATCGTATCCCTTCCATCAGTACGGAAAAATATAGCTGCGATGTTCGTGTGAAAATTTCAAGTAGATCGCCGTTTTGAAAAATTTTTCACACCGACTCTGAAAACTCTCTGATATTATCATATATCCAAAATTATTATTTTATTAACTGGTTTTCTGGTTTTTCAATAGGGACGCTACAAAAGTAGACCGATAGGGACAGCAAACGACGCCATATTTCTTCCCCCTCTTTTGACATTTCTCTTCGGTAATGTTTGCCATTTAATCATGGCAAACACAAATACGATTCAATAACGAGTCGAAATCATTAAACTTTACTACCGAAATTCGGAGTCAATAGCCTAAACTTTAAGGGCGTTACGTCTAATTTATAGTCGTCAAATCGTCCTGTCAGATCAATAATTGAGCGTGTAGTGGAAGCATTTGAATCCACATTCACAGCACAAAATGTCCCCGTGCCAGTGAGACAAAGAAGTACCTATAGTGTCAAGAATATTGCTGCCTCAAGCGCATCAATTGAAGAAGACCCAAATCAGTCTCTCACACGTCGTTCACAAGCGTTGGGAATCTCTGTGAGGTCGTTGTAGCGAATTTTGCGAAAAGATCTTGGCCTACATCATTACAAGATCGAATTGACGCAAAAACTGAAGTCGCTTGACCACCAGAAGAGTCGTCGTATGTTCAAGAATTGGGCTGAGCAACAACTTGAAAATGATCCGAATTTTCATTGAAAAATCACTTTCAGCGAAGAGGCTCATTTCTGGCCGAATAGCTTTGTCAATAAGCAAAATATGTGTTATTGGTTAGACAGAAATCCACACGTACTCCATGAGTCACCACTGCATCCCAAAAAAATTACGTTTTTTTGCGGTTTATGGGCGGACGGTGTCGTTGGGAAGTACTGCTACCGCTAAATGATAATCGAATATTTTTGACCCGAATTGGATGATATGGACTTGGACAATATATGGTTGCAACAGGGCGGCACCACAAACCATACAGCGAATGTCGCAATCAATTTATTGAAAACCAAGTTTGATGAACGTGTTATCTCACGAAATGACCTAGTCAATTGGCCAGACGGCCCTGCGATTTGACGCCGTTAGACAATTTCCTATGGGGCTACATCAAGTTTATTATCTATGTCAACAAGCCATCGACGATTGATCAACTTCGTAAGAATATCGAACGTGAAATTGCAGCAGTATCGGCCGATTTATGCTTGGAAACTAACGAAAATTTTGTAGTTGACTGTATATAACGCCTTAGGTTTAGTCAAACAAACAAGAGTTTTGTACATTAGAGCGGGTCGATTTTTTTTTTTTTTTTTATAAAATCGCGTATGAGGGTAGTATTTTAAGATTTCGAAGCAGCTATTTTTAAGGCGGGAGTTTAAAAAATCTGAATAACCAGTTTTATGGGAGATATGTGATATAGTTGTTATCACATATAGTTGTCCGATCTGGCCGATTCCGACAAATGATTAATAGAATATCAATATTCACCTACGTATTGAATTTGGAACAAATTTTTATGATCCCTAAAACCATTAAAAATCGCTGGCTTGAAACTTGTTTTAGATCTAAAGTTATTCAAAATTATTCGTATAATGACTTCCGCATACGTCATTTTTTCGGCTCCCTATGAAACAAACAACCCGCTGCAATATACTTCTAATACATGCAAAATAGATTAACAGAAATTTTTTAAGATTTCGAAATTAATACCTACCTTTGTAAGGCATGAGACTACCGTTCAAAGGTCAAACTATTATTGCCTATAACATCGAATTGATTAATTTTTGCAACTATAATCAAAATAGATTCGAGCAAACTCTTTAAACAATTATTTTAATCTATTAACATCCATTTTCTCTGATTCATCTAATAGGCGGTAAGTGGTTTGGCGTCGATATCACCAAGGAGCATATTGCCGACAATTTCGACCAGTGCGTATGGGAGCCTTCGATTATCAAGATCAATGCTTTAACCGCCGCTGCCGAGGCTGCCTGCATGATACTCTCCGTCGATGAAACTATTAAAAGCCCCAACGCTGGCAATCAGCAGATGCCTATGGCTGGAGGCATGGGTCGCGGCATGGGAAGACCCATGTAAGCGCAATATACTCGCATTTAAATAATTTTATAACTTCATCATAGAATCACATCAAAATTCATTAACGCCAGGAGCTGAATTCACATGCTAACTGTTTCTCCAGTAAAACTTTTAGTTTCTTTATTGAAATATGGTAATAAAATGCTAGTTACTAACTTCCAATAAACTGTATTGTAATTGTTTCTCTGAAATTTTTGAAATGTACTTGCAATTCATTACTTGTTTGCATACCAATTTTTTTAAAGCATTTGCAGCTTTTACCTAACAATTTATAATATGAAATTGCCTTTATTAAATAAAAATAAAACTCATAAAGAAAAATGACAAAGGCGGAGTTTTTATCATAACATTCTTATAATAGATAAGTACAGGTATGTAGTATGTCAGTACATATCTATGTACATATGTATGTATATGTAAGCATAGGTTTATGTGTATAAATATCTAAGTGATTTTTGCGGCGCAATTACCAAAATAGCCGCCGTCAGCAAGACTCCTGGCCACTATCTGCTGCCTTTTATCGTTGACACCCACAAAAACAAAGCAGAATACTGCTTTACCCGGGAAATGAGCGCCAATTCCGGCAAAGCGGTTTGTATACACATATTGTAGTGGGCGCGCGGCTTCGCAAGTGTCAACATTACCGTCTTCTCATATTCTCTCATTATCGTCCATAACTGGAGGTACTAAGAAAATGTAGGCGGCGTGCATCTCAAGGCAGTTATGCAGTAAAGAGAAACACTGGGAAAATTCGATATCATGTGGATATTGCGGTTTATTCCCACTATTTTCTACAGCGCATGTCCGTTATACGGCTTGTATACATACCTGAAATTGCACATTTATGTACGAACAACGGTTTGGCATAAACTGCAAGATAAAAGGGTGTGTTGTTATAATATATACTACATACTTACTTATGTAACTCGGCTATAACCGCGTAAGCGATATCTACGAAAATAAAAAAGAAGAAGACTTATATACATATAGTATAAGTACGTATTTACTTCGATTTTGAACTACATATTTGTAACCAAATCTGCCAAATCGACTGTAAAATTTACGTACATATTCGAGGAATGGCAAAATCGTTGGTATGAGTGTATTACTTGTACATCTGTTGGGGATTACTTTGAAGCCGACAAAATAAATATTGATGTACTATTGAATATTTTGCGTTTTACGATTTCCAGATTTTTTTTTTTTTTCATCTACATACCACATGAACAAAATTGACTCGGACTGGAGATTTTTTTTTTGTTTTCACAATGTATATAGTATATAAATATAAAGTTTTAAGTTCATGCCTCTAATGGCACTTAATGCAGCAACATAACTTTTCACAATTTTCTTTTCATCTACATACCATATGATCAAATATGAACCGGACTAGCGTTTTTATTTTTTCTGTATTCGGAATGTATCTATTGTATACATACAAGTATATGCAAACGTTTAAGTAGACGCTTGTGATGGCACTTAATACGAAGTTAGTTTTTTTATCTACATACCATATGATCAAAATTGACCCGCACTGACATATTTTTTTGTTATTGTCCATAAATTCATATCCATTGTGATCAGTGGTATCAAGCAACAGTTTTATTTTTTTTATTATTTAAGTATAATAAATATTATGTATACAGATCCATATGCATGAATGAATTATGACATATGTACATATCATACATACTGTCATATGTACATATGTAAATAATTAATAATTGATAGGTAAGAGTAATTGTCAAAACAACGTGTCTCTAGTATTTACATACGTGTATATAATTTATGCACATATTTACATATATGTGTATATGTATGTAGCTTTCGATATTTGTACTCTTAAATAAATACCGCCGGAACGGGCAATAAAACCTCCGTTAATGAAAATACAAGCATAGTACATATGCAGTACATACATACATATGTATATATATACATATGTGTATGCGAATCGCAAGTCATGCAACAAATTGGTGACACACACACATACATACATACTTAATTGAATATCATTTTTGGGTATATGAGCATATCCACAACGTAACAAATATACATACATACATACCAATATACATGTGTTAGCAAATATTTTTCTATATTGTATTTTAGTATACGAGTATTATAGACCAGGACGATTGCTACACAGTTAGCTTTTTCAAGGACGTAACCTTGGAATGCATGCAGATGTGTATGTATGCAGACATACATATGTATGTATACAGACATATGTATACATATGTGTGTATGTATACAGTATATATAAACAACACTGCATTCATTGCAGAATGTACCAAAGCTATTGTCTTTCGAATAATTGCCTCTATTCATACATACATATACGTGTTTTTATATGTGTGCACAGCACACACATATTAAAAAATAAACGGAATCATTTTGCCATAGCTTTTTAGACTTGATGAATAAAAAATAATACAATTCTCTTATATAGAAAACTTCTTCTATCTATATGTCACTAAAAAGCAACCCAAAACAAAATTATAAAAATACTCGCTTTTCTGCATTTTCCTTCGTATCACGTTCTCAAGTTCTTGGGCGCATCATGAACGCAATGCACAAAAATATTCTTGATCCGCTAATTTCTATCCATATTTACCCCCCTCTAATGTTTTCTTGTTATGAACAAGAATAAAAAAGGTTCTTTTGGAACACGAGCGGCATGATTTCTTTGTCTTTCCTCTTGGTTCCCTCCTCTATGAAAAGCGATTTGGGCGACAGAAAAGGTCCTCGTGTGAACATAGGCATGAATATGAAACCTTCATTTGTGCAACAGTGCAATGACCAGACAGTCGACTAACGAATGACTCTGTGGTGAACGAAAGGGGGTTGTGCAATGTTTAGGAAGTGGTACATATGTACAAACAGATAGTTGCACAACTTGCATTCGGGGTGTCTTTTTAAAATCTAGTTTCCATATACCTACATATGTATGTATATATTGCTTGGGTACAGACTACAACCACAAGTTTTTAAGGTTTCTCGCAGGCACATCCTGAAATATATAGATACATACTTACATATAAAGATATAGTACATATGTTACTTTACATACTTTTAAAGATAGAAATATCCCGCCGTCAAAGCAAATTGTTGATAACCTTAAACCCAATTGGTATTTTTACCATTGTATATACTGAGACCCAACATTTATTATTCGACCGAAAATACCACGTCAAGCACGCGGTGAAAAAAATTACAAAAATATAGTTCGTAGCAACTCCGACAGACGTATGGCTTGACATGGCTCATTTTACGTCAAATCCTTAAGTTGAAGGCGTAAAAAATGCAGCTTATGCAAAAACTGAAGCCGCTCCATCTTCCCATGCGACATTACATTGCTCTATGTGCTGTTGAAAAGTTCCAAGAAGATCCGAGGTTTTCGAGCCAAATTTTGTTCAACGAAGAGACCCATTTCTAGATCAATGGGTTTGTAAACAAGTAAAATTGCCGCATTTTAGGCAAATAGCAACCTGAGGAGATTCAAGATCTGCCATTTTATCCAGAGAAAAAGATTTCTTCAAAAATGATATCAGTGAGAACAAAGCCGTCAATGATCTTGGCGACATTTAGTTTCAACAAGACGGCGTTACTTTCCACACATCGCATCAATTAATGGATTTATTGAGAGAACACTTCAGTGAGCGGATAATTTCACGTTTTGGGTCGGTGGATTGGCCACTAAGATCGCGTAATATCACACCATTAGACTTTTTCCTAGGAGATATGTAATGTCTAAAGTCTACGCGGACAATTCGCTTCTATTTAGACCTGGGAGCAAAACATCACGCTTGTCATTCGTCAGTTACCAGCCGAAATGCTCGAATGAGACATCGAAAATTAGACTCAACGGATGTACCAACTGAGACGTAGCCGCATCCAACATTCGAAAGAGGTACTCTTCAAAAAAAAAAACAAAAAACGCCCAATAATATTCTTTCGTATGATGATAAACATTCCCCTTTAAATTTGAAGTTTCTGTATTTTTTCTTAAAAAAAAGTAGGAAACCTCGAAAGGGATCACCTATTACATACTTACATATATACATATTTACAACTATTTATATGCGGAGATGTTGAAATTTTCTTAATCTCGTTTGAACTCCGCTTTGACCTTTTCATAATTGTGAGTACCGAATGAGAGATAACGGAACTGTTACTCCACAGCTAAGTAAGTAAATATTTGCTGACGAACAGAAACTGAGGCCACTGGGTCTCAGCGAGTAATTTGAATTCGGTAGCAGTTTATAATCGCATCAAGTCAATAAAGGATCAGAATGCAGCCACGGATGCAGTTGCTTTTGTTGGCGGTTATCGCTGTAATCACCAGGCAATCAAAGGTAAGTCACAATATGTTTATATGAAGTCATATACGTTACATAATCATAACATATTTAAATGTGTATATGTATGTATGTTTGTTTGTAGCACGCGAACGCCAACGTGCTCTTTCGTTTCGCGCTGGATTTTCATGTGAAATCGGACGAATCCAACGAAACCGATGGTGCCATCAACAAAACTTTGATTTTTGAAAACAATCACATCACCATTAAAAATAATCTCCAACCAGAAGAGTCGATCGAAGAGGAATTAACTGCAGGACCCGATAAAACGGAAACACCCAGCACCACCGCTGGACCACTGCGATCTATGTCAGACTTCTGGTTGCAAGAACAAAATGTCACCGATGTAGCCGAAACCGTAGATGCCTTAACTCAACTAAATCGGGAGATTTCACCACTTGTTGGACGAAGCGACTACATATCTTCGAAGGTGAAGCTAGTAACACGTTACCTTAATATTTTGGATGCACGAGCAGCTGCGGCAAACGATGAGAACCTAACCAACTCGCAATACAAGTATGACCAATTGCGAAAGTTCATCAAATTGGCGGAAAAATTAAAGGAGCCGCCCATCGCTGCCTCTGAACGCACCCTCGATTATACGGTGATGAAGCTGGCTTTGGAGAAGTATCACATTGCAGACTTGCAGGAGAAGGTAGCGAAACAGGTGACTGACGCTGAAAAAGCATGGCAACTGTATGTCAAAACGAGACTGGTCGAAGTGGACGCTTAAGAGGGCCGGCCTGAATGCGATTACATGTGACGGATGCAAAACGAACTGCTGCTCTTAAATGAAATAAAGTTAATTGCGTTTGGTGCAACAAATCTGCCTCCAGATAATAATACTTACTTATATAGTATGTACTTATGTCTATAGGTATATAGTATATGCGATATAACTGCGTAAATAAAATTACGTCAAAATTGGCAAAAATATTATTTTTATTATTATTTTTTTTTTTTATTTTTTATGCGTGTATTACTCATATGCAAGTATACACAAACATATGTATGTAAATACCCATGTACTGTATATGTACATATGTATACTTCGAAATGAAATATTGTTATTTATTAATACATGCCTAGCACCTCCCACACGTTCAACAGCGAGATGCAGTGAATAAAAACTTTAGTGCATATGCATGTATGTACATATGTGTGTATAAATATGTATTATAGGTACTTCAAGCAAAAATGAAGAAGGGAATGTCAGCTTCCAACATTTACTACACAACAATAACAAGCACTTCCATTTCACTTCTCCACCGCGGAACACAAAAGGATTTCTAAAATTGTGTGCCACACCGTGGCGATGTTTATACCCTGAACAGGGTGTTTTAAGTTTGTCACTAAGTTTTTAAAGCTAAAAGGAAACATCGGAGATCGTTTGAAACATATGTGCATAAATACATACTATGTGTATAATTATACAAATGATCAGCATGAAGTTGCTAGTGTTGATTTGGCAAAGCCGTTTGTCGGTGTCTTTATACGCGAACTTTTCCTTCAGTTTTTTAGATATCTATCTGAAAATTTGCATACGTTTTTTCTCTCGCAGAGAAACTACTCGTTTGTCGAAATCGCTGATATCGGACCACTATAGCGTATAGCTGCCATACAAGAGGACCTATCAAATCCGAGTGCCTGTATGGAAAAAAAGTTTATTTGACGAGATATCTACACGAAATTTCGTAAGAATTCTCCTTTAAGGCAATCGCACAGTCTTCGAACAAATTATTAAGATTGGACTACTATATCATATACTAGCTGTCATACAAAATGAGCGATTAAAATCAAGCTCTTGTATGGAAAACTTTGTTATTTGACAAGGCATCCTCAAGGAATTTCGCATAAGTTAATGTCCAAGAGAACGCTAAAATCTCTGTACAAAACAATATTGTCCAGATCGGATCAGGATCAGGATAAATGTAATTTTGTCCTTATTAAGTAAGCATACTAATACTTGAATTCTGTTTCTGTCAAACAACGGGGCTAGAAAGATTTAGAAAAACGTTTTGCGTGGATGCAAACCTTGGCTAGCGTATTTTCAGAATGAGATATATGTACGTACACATAGTTCCTATAAAAAATGCACCTGTGAAGGGTATTATAGCTTCGATGCAGCCGGTTTAACGTTCTTCTTTTCTCGTTTTAAATGCACAAAACCCACACACTGCGATACGCAAACAGGAATGCATACTTAATATTTGTTTGTAAGTACTGTATACATACATAAATACATACATATGTATGTACATTCATATTTCACAGTTTCAGCGGGCAGCCACTGTAAGCAATGACACAAGCGGCACTGGAAATAATCCCCTGCTTTGAATAGGTGCATAGAAATATTCGATATGAAGCACTTTCTACTTGACGTTTTGTTTTGTACTTTTAGAAAACTAGGGCAAAGTAGCTCTTCTCTTATAATAATTGATTATAGTAGTCAAATATTAAATATTTTGATAAATATTACGAGTACTACAAAGTCTATGACCCCTGCATCTAAGTGGTGGAAAAATTACAAATAAATATGCTATACGTACCATTTCTTGTTAGTATTTTAAGTTCCTAGATATCTAAGCCGAGTTCTAGATAATACTGCGCAGAAACATACGACTTGTTACAGCGTCACTCTCATGTCTACTTCCCTGCACTTTCTGCATGTATCATCGTTACTTATGCCCATCTGTCTCGCCTGTGCTGTCAATAGATCAACCGTCCTGGAGTTCTTTCAAAACTGTTTGAGTAAAAAGCTTTCCTTTGTTGCTCCTGGCGATCCTGCATGTCTTTAAGGCACCTCACCTCCACCTGATCCACCTGTCAGTCCGTTTGGAAATTGCATAGTTTTTAACGATTTCCGTATTTCCCGTTCTGTTTCCGTAACCAGATTTTACACAGGCTCCTGCTATGAAAACCTTAATCTCACTAACAGTTGCTTTAGATGGAGTTTACTTCATTTCAAAATACATACAAATGTGTTTGGTAAATATTGTATGTATGTAGATATTTGTTGTGTAGATAATTGTTTATTGCATTATTAGATTCTAAAACACCTCAAGAATAAAGCCCTAAATTTTCAAGTTGGTCCGAGTAAGACTTTTAGAGATACAGCCTTGAGAACTTTTACGCTCGATCTTAGCTAAGTTACGGCGATCTTTAAACGCGTTTTTCCCGAAACTGTATTTTTGAAGTCGCTTCTCAAGAATTCGCGAGAACTACTCCACCGATCTTCATGAAATTTTACACAAGTCTTTGGGTTACAATTCTTAAGCACTTGGACAAAGGAGTTTTTTTCGATTAAAATTATTTAAGAAAAAAATTATTAGGAAAAATGTTTAGGTTACAATTCTTAAGCACTTAGACAAAGGAGTTTTATTCGATTAAAATTATTGAAGAAAAAAATGTTGCGAAATTCTCACTGAAATTTAAATATTTCTGTTAAAATATCCGCCAAAAATCAAATTTTCAGCTTTTCCCTAATCCTTTTTTCACTTTAAATAATCCTGCAAGGAGTTATGCTGGAGTTATGCGGGCACATCTTTTTTGTGCGAGGGGTCACCGGTATTGGCGTCGCAATGGCTGAGTTTAAAATATTATTTTACCAAAAGTTTCTGAATATCTTTGTTAATAGTGTATATTTGTAACAATAAAAAATACTTATAAAATATTGTATTTTATTTTTTATACGAGAAAATAATTTTTACAAACAAGCTGTGTTTTACCAGAGGAAAGCCATGTAACCCCTTAACTGCCATAAATTTTTTTTTTTTTTAATTTGTATTAAACTTGTATGTTCTTTATCCACGGGCTTCCATAGTTCCAATACAATGTAATTATGTACCTGTGTATGTATGAATGCATGTGCATATTTATTAGTATATGTATGTACATTCGTCTACATACCAACATTTCTACCCTGTAGTGATTACCTTGAACGGAAACATCTGTCGCAACGGTTTCCATTGATTCGCTTTAAAGTTGATCCTCATTATTTTTTACTCAATGTGCACATATACACAAATGTATGTGTATATATATGTACATACTCGTGCGTAATATGGCCCATCCTTTTATCGGGTTCGTTGCTATAGATATGGTTAAGGGTGCACAAAACAATAAATGGTACATATGTAAGTAAGTATTGTATGTTATGTATGTATGTATTATCAACATCGGCCGTTTCGTAACGTATTTTTTGTACGTTCCCTCGACCGGTTCCGACTGACTCCCTAGCCATATGAAATGCATTGTGTATAGTTTCTTGGAATTTAAGACGTTGTGTTATCGTCTGCTTATACCTACATATACATACATATATGTACGTGTGGTATATTTATATCGATCGTCCGGAGAATCAGTTTACATATTGAATGTACGTACTATATACAATATGTATGTATGTATTACATCCACGTAAATTTAATTTATATTGTTATAAATACATACATACATATGTATATACTACACATTTTTGTAGGTGTGTATACATTCTACGTACATAAATCTGGTATTTTGTTTAAAGTAGTTAAGGACTTCAGTCAACCACATGGTTAATATTTTGCACTTATTTTTATTATTCAGAAATAACGTACGAGGGTTGCCTTATACATTTCAGAATTAAAGACGAAAAAATACAAAAAATATTTTAAACTCGGCCATTACGACGCCATTTCCGGTGATCCCTAGAAAATAAGTTGCACCCGCGTCGGCAGGATAACTCCTTACAGGATCATCTAAAGTAAAAAAAAATACGTAAATAATAGTTAAAACCTTAACTTAGAACTTGGACAAAGGAAAAAAAACTGTAAATTGGATTTTTAAAAGACATTTTTACACAATATTGAAACTTTCTGTGAAAATTTCGCAACATTTTTATTCAAATAGTTGTAATCGAAAAGTGGTTTTCGAGAAATCTTGCGAACCAATGTGTCTCGACGATTTGCTCGCAATGTCGTGGTCAAGAGCGATTCCATCTTCGGCGGTTGGTCTTCCTGATTTCATGAATGACAGCTGCCAAACAAATGTTTGTTTGACACTCAGAATTCACTGTTGTGTTTTGTTTCAGTGATTCATCACCTGTCCGGATGTCATAGAAGTGTTTCGAAGTACCAGTATTGTATTCTTTAATATGTACAGGTCCAACTAAAGCTTAGAGTTTTCTCACGACAGGTCACATAACGATCTAACACTTTGCGTATAATATCAATAGTTTCAGGAACAATAACTGATTTTGGACAACATTCACGAAATACTTCTTACGACTTCGATTGCATTCATCATACCATCGTTAAACACTGGTTCTTAATGGAGCTTCATCGTCAAAAATTGAATTAAGTTCATCGATGCACTGTTGAGGATTTAATTCACGTAGAAATTTGCAAAAAATTAATCGCGCGAAACTGCTCGATATACAATTCCATTTTATTTACCGATATGAACATTTTAAGTTACTGCAAACAACACATATAGCAATCATATGTCAAAACCTGCGGGATATTATAACCTCAAAAGTGTCAAACTTTTCGTTAAAGTTGTGAGTTGACAGACTGCAGCAATAGAGTTGCCAAATGCCGAAATATGGAAGGCAACCTGCGTATACATATGTGTCCACTTATTATAATACATGATTAAACACTTGACTGAGTAAATCGTCAGGAGACGATACAGCTCCATGGAAATCAGATACCAAAACCATCTGCCAGCCTTCTGAAACTACAAATTACCCACCACGGTGATCTCAAAGTGCATAAACCTAAAAAACATGGTTTTACTTCTGCCGCAGTCTTTGCTTAAGGTTGCGCTCACAAATATTGCTACGAAATAGAATTATGCACATATGTACATTCATACATATATACTATATAGTATGTATACACATCTATGTATGTATATATGTACACTTGTATGTAAATAAGGGAGAAATCTGTACAAGTGGAATTTGGAGCACAAGATGTTGCGATACAATACACATACACACATACATTTGTGTGTATTTGTATGGTAAACTGAAAAGCTACAGCATGAAGTAGTACAACAACTTCTCGTTCAGTCAGCCGTGCGATTATCTGCCCCTTGCAATGGTGTCACTCTACGCTGGATACGCTTGGGTGCTGTGTCGACACCATACATCCTCCACCGTAAAGATTCACATACATATGTACAAATATCACTTGCCGTACAAGAACAAAAAACCACAAAACAGTAACAAGATCAACGATCAACTAACTAAAAAAGCAATCAAAGAGAATAAGGTCACAAGCTCAGCTGAAACGTATGCAGAAGGCAGGAAGGCAACAAGTACTTAAAACACAGAATTAATAAATCATGTTTGTACACATGGGGTTACATATTTTTTTTTTTACAATTTACAATTTTACGGTGCACGGATGCGAGCAATAGAGTTTTATGCAATTTTCCACTGAACTTTATCAGTATTTACTATATTCTCAGTACATACACAAGCATAAATATATGTACATATGCATAATACGCCATAAGTACCGATGATAACAATAGAAAAGAAGAGTATGTACATATATATTAGAGTGATTGAAAAAAAAAAAATTGTTTTTCGTTTGGCACTTTGAAAAATAGGCTCCTAGACACCTCTAACGAAGCCTCTCCAAGAATGAGCTCTTAATTGTAACGGGAAGGTCCTCCTACTTACAGTTTTATATTTTTTCTTATTATCTGATAGAAAAGTTTATATCTCGCTTCCAACCACTTCAAAAAATATTTTGTTCCTTAGATTTTGTAGGAAATTGAATGCTCTACAAAAAAGGTCTGATACCGTTTTTTTCGTAAACAAACCCGTTTAAAAGATACAATTCCGTGACTTCCACGCTAATTCTTTCAAAGAGTTGAATTTTCGTTCTCATCACTAAGGTTCATTTAAGGGGTATATGGGTTTATGAGTTTCAAAAAGTCGAATTCTTTATTGTCGCTACAATTCTGCAACATCTCTAGAATATTGTTACGAATTTTCAAGTGTTTCGGAGGTACAGCCCTGAGCGAAGTTTTCTCTGAAATATTCTTTTTTTGTAAAAATGTCTGCCCAAACTACAATTTTCAGTTTTTTCCCCTTCTTTCAAGTTCTAAGTTTTAACTAAAACACGAATTTTTTCATTTGTAAATGATCTTTTAAAGAGTTATTCCACCAACGCGAGCGCTTCTTTTTTCCGAGGGGGACCGGAAATGGCGTCGTAATGGCCGAGTTTAAAATATTTTTTTCCAAAAACTTCAAAATTCTTTGGTTAGTAGTGTATGTTTGTAACAATAAAAAATTCTAATAAAAGTTTCATTTTTTTTATGAGAAAAAAATTTATGGAAAAATGCTGTTTTTTACCAGAGGAAACCCGCACAAACCGAATCGATAAAAATTTAGATTGCTACGACCTTTTTTTATGGTCCTGATTTTGAGGTCCGTATGTAAAGTGGTGTGTATTATTTGGGCGCGAAAGGTTTGTCTGACAATTTGTATCATAGAAAAAAAATTATTCTTTACTTGGCTTCAAACTTTGCGTTTCCAGTAATATCACGGATGCGGATTCATTGAGTTTATTGCAGAAGTATATTTGGAGAGTCTACCTTACCACGAAAGCAATTCTTTGACCGCAAACTTGCCTCATATGAGTTGTCCATCACCAGCTCTGTTAATGACGATAACATCAAAAAAGTTTAAGAAACAGTGCTTGAAAACGTCGTGTTGCCATCAGAGAGATAGCAGACGATCTCAACATCTCTTACGGATCAACTCAATATAGTTTCGTTAATGTTTCAGGCACCCAGCGTAAGTTAAGGAACGTATTCCTTATAATATTATCTTATCAAAATATCCCAAACAAACAGACAACAAAACAATATTGAATTTGAGTAAGGAAAAAATATTAAAACAATCTTATCTTAGAACAAAGGAATTTTATCAAAGCAAATATATTATACTATATGTAAAAAAAAAAACAATCAACTAGTTATAGGTGAACATCTAGTATGTTTAGTATAAATAGCAAAAAGATCCATGTAACAAGTCAGTCTTAAGAGTTATAATAAAGAGACTACATCTCGACAACAAGTTAGTCTAAAGAGGGTAAAACTCGACAACAAGTTAGCCTTAACAGAATTAATATAGAGGGCATATCTCGATGCAGCTCGAAAATATTATATATCTTCCGACTCCTTTTTACTTTATGTAAAAATTAACAAGTGTCAATGCTGAACTCGTACCAAAAGACCTGATTCTTTTGCAAACACGAAATCGAGTAGAGGTCGCTAAAGACATATTTGACAACGAACCTGAGTAGCCAACTCTCAAACGCAACACTACTGTGAGTGTGATGTCGAAACTGTCAAAGCATCTAACGAATGAAGCTCCACAAACGAGCCTAGCCGAGGCTTACACAAGTGTATGGAAAATTAGTTTCAGCATTGTCGTGATTTTATTGCCTCAGGAACCTTTTTGAAAGCAATAATAAAGATTTTTACTAAAATATGTACATATATTCAAATACGGTTTTTTTCGTAAGTTCGGCTCAAAATTGATGAGATGGTAACTTACATATACTGTGTCAAAACTGCCGATGCTCTAAGATCTCATCACTAAAGTATGCTTCACAATTATTAGAAGTAAAAAAACAAAGCAAATTAACATTTGTTGGAAGGTGTTCGGTACAAAACAGCTTAAAGTGACCCGCCTGAGTCATCTTGAGCGTATGCCAGCGTTGCTCTAATGAAGACGGGAAAGTTCAAAAATATTGCGGTAAAGCAAATTAAGTTTAAGCTGTGCACCAAAAACAACTGCAACAACAAAAAGGAAAAGTATTATTAATATACTTCTCCACTTCAACATCAAGTTAATTTTAACTAATATTAAATAAATGTTTATTGGGTATTTAACATAAGTATGTACTTAAAAACAAAGTGCATGCATTGACGTTTTTCCTTTGTTTGTGAGAAGTGCTGATAAGCTCAACGCTAAATATGCACTTACAATGTAAACAACATTTAACGTTCGTATGTAACGGGTGATCCAAGTTGAGGTACTTTTTTCAATCGAGAAAATTTTTTTTCAGCGATGAGGCCCATTTCTGGCTCAATGAGTATGTAAACAAGCTAAGTTACCGCAGTTGGAAGCTGCCATTTTATCCAGTAAAAAACACGGTGTGGTATGGATTGTAGGCCAGTGGAAATATCGGTCTATATTTCTTCAAAAATGATGCCGATAGCGCCATAATAACCGACTATTTGATGCCCGAAATTAAAGCTCGTGATCTCGACGACATTTGATTTCAGCAAGTGGGCGCCACTTTCCACATATCGCATCAATCAATGGATTCATTGAGAGAAGACTTCGGTGAGCAGAATATTTCACGTTTTAGGCCGGTCGATTGGCCACCAAGATTATATGATATCACACCGTTAGACTTTTTCCTGTGTAAAGTCTAAAGTCTACGCGCGTCGATTCAGGTCTTGAAGCAAAACATTGCGCCTGCCATTCGCCAGTTACCACTCGAAATGCTCGAACGAAACATCGAAAATTTTACTCAACTAATGGTCCATCTGAGACGTAGACGCGGTAGACATTACAAAGACACAATCTTTAAAAAATAAACACCAATGAATGTTCTTTCTAATGATAATAAACATTCCCAATTAAATTTGTAATTTCAGTGTTTTTCCTTAAAAAAGAAGTAAGGTTCCACGTAATGGATCAACCTTTGCTACGTTACGTATTTCTTTTAACACATACATACTTACAAATATACAATAAATAAATAGCAGTTAGTAAAAAAAAAAATTAATTCGCAATAGCTTTCATGAAATAGTGTGGTACATACTTACATACATACATACTATGTACCTACACAAGTGCATTTGGTGTTTATTCCATTTATAATTTCTAGTTGTAATCTAGTACATTTCCAGACTGGTTTTGTATTGCACTGCATGGTTATGTTATGTGTGTGTGTATGCACTCACATACATATGTATATTTTTAACACATTTGCATTGCAAAACCAGATATCTGAGTCGCTACAATGTTTACTAACAAATGGGTGATATTTAAAAGTCACCAGCAACAAAACAAGCTCCAATTGCTTGCGTGCTCACAAGCTCATTTTCATATCGCAATAACAATTTACTACTATAATATACAAACAATGTTTTTTTTTTTTCAGAAATTACTTTTTTCGATTCTTTGTCACGAACGAGTTTATTTTTATATCATTAAAATGCAGGAACTTTATATATTCCACATTTGCATACACATATGACGCTGATCTCTGATGTGATCTCTGAGTAGCAGTTGAATGCAGTCAAAATAAATAACAAATCTTATAACTTTTTTATATTTTTAACAATCAAGTTTCTTCCAAATTTCTGGACCAACTTTCCTCCACTCGATCGAAATATTGAAATCATTCTAACCACTTATATTTGAATTCTGTAGTATTTTCTTACCAACGCTAACTAAGATACAAACAATTAAAACTTCTGATTGAAAATCAAGTCTGGGATTTAACTTACAGTCAGTCAATATTGTTAGTAACTTGTTGTATCCTAAAATGGATACATGGTATGCATATTAAGAAGAGCCAATGAAGTATACATTGTGACAAAAAAGTACTCAGAAATTGTAAAAGTTTGCAAAATATTTAATTATTCATCTATATTTGTATTGTCGCCTTCAAAGTAATCTCCACCAGATATAATACATTTTTACCAACAGTTTTCTAGTTCTCGAAAATCGTTTCATAAGCACTTTTTGGGATGGCTTTCAGCTCCTCCAGCGAATTTCGTTTTATCTCTTCGATCGACAACCGAAAACGGGTCTCACGGAGCACAAATTTCAGTTTGAGGAACAAGAAAAAATTACACGCATCCAGATTCGGTGAATACGGTGGTTAATCAATTGTATTCATTGCGTTTTTTGGCTTTAAATTCGTCATCGCGTAAAATCCCTGAGTTGTTCTTCAACAATTCCGGCCGTTTTCGACGGATTTTCTCACGCAAACGCCTCAATATGGAACTCTTTATTCACCGCCTGTCCCCTGGAAGAAATTCATAATGCACAAAACCACGAATATCGAAAGAAAACAATAAACATCACCTTAATTTTTGAGCGACTTTGGCGTCGTTTTTTGAACTCGGCTTGTTTTTTTTGTCTCCGTTCTGATAATTGTTGACTTTTTTGCATGTCTCATAAACCCTCGTTTTATCGGCAGTTAATATGCTTCCCACGAATGTGGGATTGGAATTCGCTCGATCAAACTTGTCTAAAGAGACCCGTTTATGGTACTCTTCTTTCAGTTTTATCGGAACGAGTAGAGCAAGATCGCGTATTAAACCCAAAATAATTCGAACGGAGTCGCGAGAGATTCCGAGCTCTTTTGGCATCTGTCTAACACTTACCTGACGATTTTGTAGTATTATGTCATTCACTTTTTTAATACTTTCATCAGTTGAAGAGATCGAAGGTCGTCTAGATCGAGGCATGTCTTTAACGATCTCTCGATCACCTTTGAAAGCTTTGTAACACTCGTAGGTTTGTGTTTTTGATAAAAGTGAATCGTCGTAAGCCTTTCCTAACATTCACAATGATTTCCTTGGAATTTGATTACATTTTGCTGACGTTTTTTTGTCACAATGTAAGTGTGTATATAAAAATGATCAGCATGGCGAGCTGAGTGTATTTAGCCATGTCCGTCTATCCATCTATATGTATTGTAATAAGTAACTAGTCTTATATGAAATGTTACCCACGTCCTTTTCTCCCCATGAAGCTGCACATTTGTTGAAACCTCGGATATAGCACATAGCACCATACAAACTGAACGATCGGAACCAAGTACTTGTATGGAAAGATTTTTTAATTTTCTTGCTTAAAGCAATGTTACAATCTCCGAATAAATTGCTCAGATCGAATGCCTATAGCATATATGTATGTACATATATATAGGGTATTATAATTTCGGTGCAGCCGAAGTTAAAGTTTTTTCTTGTTTTTTCTTTTAATTAAGATTAAGTGGCAGGTTTCACAAGCAACATTTTAAACTACAGCAATCAACATCAATTCAATTTTTAATTAACTAAATTTTCATGTTTTCCATGATTGACAGTTAAGTCAGGCGGTGATTCGATGATTTTTCCGTTTCGGTGACTTGTTGTTAGTCTAGTTAACGGCTAAAAATGAAAATAAAGGTGCTCGGGTGCGGTTCGTGGTTATGATTAAGCGGTAGATCAACATAGTGTGCCTATATGTACATATGTATGTATGCCGTGGTAGACAAATATGTATAGTATGTACATATACATTTATACATATATATGTCATTACACGACTATATTGTATGTATGTTTGTATATATTATTTTAGATTTGGGTATGCGCTTCAGATTTGCTTTGCTTTATGGCAAGTTGTAGTTGTTAGATAGCTGCAATAGACGCAATTTGCGCTCATAGTATACACAACCAAAAAGGTGAATAGTCTTTATGCGTGAATTGCGCGTGCTCAAACCGGTTTCACCACTATGCTGTCTATAATTATAGAGAAAACTTCGAACTGGGCTAGATTGGGTCTTTCAACATTCACATTCGCAATAAACGTAATGCATACGAGCCTATGGATGTATGTACATACATGCATATGTATGCATGTATGAATGTAGAAACTTTTGATTAATTGGCACGAAACTGATGTATAAAAGGCGGTTATTTCGCAAAGTAAACGAAGAGACGGCGAAATTAACAGCGATTTCACAAACTTGCAAAATTGTATTGATTGTGTAGCTTACACATACATATGTATGTATGTACATCATATAATATATACATATGGACGTAGTAAATACATATCTGTGTAAACAACGCATAATTAATCAGCAAATAATGTTTGTAAATACGTTTGACACATTGACGCTCTTGACGCTCCCCAACATCTTGGTGGCTTACGTGATGATAAGAACGTCAATCTAGTTTCGATTTATAGCCCATCATATATATTTACATACATACATATGTATGAAACGAATGCCGACCATAAACTATGAAAATAGAGGCCTTCTTATACATGTGTGCATATTTAATACTTTTTTATGCATATACATACATATGTAGATACATACTTATNCGACCATAAACTATGAAAATAGAGGCCTTCTTATACATGTGTGCATATTTAATACTTTTTTATGCATATACATACATATGTAGATACATACTTATGCGAAAACGACATTTATGTAGTTTTTACACTTGTGGCTACGCAAACCTCACCACTATACTTTCTTAATTTTTTTTCGAACTTTTTCGTTAGTTCGGAATTTTTTTTTTTCAATTTGTTTTTTATTTTTTATTTTCTATGTTTTTAGTAAGCATATGTAAACTAAATTATATTATCTAATTATAATTATAGTTTTTAATTTATTACGTTTAATGAGTAAAACACAAATTAGCTTTTTTGTGCTTATACAAAAACGCCGATTTTTTTGTTTTTAAAGTGATATCCGTACACCGACTAAACTTCGTAAATAAAAAAAATAAAATAAAATAAAATATTAATTTCAATTATAGTGTAAATGAAATTAAATTAAAAGAATAAAGCCTGTCTCTTATACACATCTAGATGTGTATAAGAGACAGGTGTATCCCCGACTAAACTTCGAAATAAAAAAAATAAAATAAAATAAAATATTAATTTCAATTATAGTGTAAATGTAATTAAATTAAAAAAATAAAAATATGATTTTTTAATCGCATGTCAGTCTCTTACATTTCGAGCTCATTTTGTAAAGCTCACAATCTTTTAAATGATTTATCTATAGCTTAATGTGTTTCGTTTTTAATTTTTAGTATTTTTGCTTAATAACATGTCATTAACTTATTTCTAAATTAAAAATTTCAATACCGCAAAAAGTACCACTATAAAATGTAGTCAAATATGCACAATTCTTTAAAATTTTAAGTGGTAAAGTTTGCGTGGCCACGACTGTATGGACATATGTATGAATGTACATACATACAGATATCCACATAAAAGTCAGAAAGACCGCGTGCTTTGCTTTTGAAAATTAATTCTATTTAATAAATACATTGAAAATTAACATAATCTATTTTACTTTCGGGGGTTATATACATACATACATATGTACGCATATCTAACTGTATAGGCAGAAAAAAACACGATTTTCTGAATTTAAGGAACCAAACAGATTTCATTAAAGTAATGTTAAATCTAGTAAAGCAAATACAAGGAATAAGCAAAATATTTTTTGACAAAATAGCGGTTTAAAAAAAAACGATTTTTTGTGCTGGAAAATCGATTTTTTCTTAGCCTTCTAATAGTATAC